CTAAACGCCTAATTAAGTGCAGAAGAAAAATTTTAAAAATGCTTGGAATTAATATTCAAAACTATAAATTTAAATACATATTTACAAATGCATCGAAAAAAAAACTTTCTACATTACGCCGGTGTTTGAAACCATGGCTCAAAATACAGAGCTTGTTTCCAAATCTTCATTTTTATGTTTAGAATTTTCCTCTTATTTTCGAACCAAACTACGGTAGGATATAATTAAAATCTATCCATCTAGTTTGAATTCTAAGCAAATCTAATTTGTTTGCAAAAATGTACAATGGTACGTATTTAGATTAATTCTCAGTGTGCGCTTTTTTAAAATTTTTTAAGCAAATGTCTCAATTAACTTCTGTTCACTTATTACATGGTATTACTCTTAGTAAATAAAGAGGTTCACATATTGCTAAATGTGTGTACTATCTATTTGTCGTGCCAAATGATTTGATGAGATTGTTTCAAATGGCATCGTTTTGGCTCCTAAAGCGCTATTAGGATACATCATATTGTATTCTTTCAATTCAATTTTTTTTTTGACGATTTATAGCTTTGACATAGGACTACAGCTGTTTGAAACGTTATATCATCTAACCAATAAATGGCCACCTACTGCTTAGTTTTCATTAATCAGAAACAATGGATTTATCTGTGAAATTGTGTATACCAGTTAATTCTAATAATCTAGCGGGGATGGAAAATTTGAGCAATTTCAAGCCTGGAAATGCACCGATAATCATAATAAACTACACATCTAAAATGTCTGAGTGTTTTTTTCACGAATAAAAGTTCATTTTAGAGCCAAGCAGACACTTGTTGGGCGACATAAACACTCTATTTTTAAAAACTGTTTATGCGATTAATTTCATGCAGAGAATAACCTCTACTTCAAATATTTAGATAATATATCAACTTTTAAAGCTTTAGCATTAATATAAAAAATAGATTGTAATGAAAGTAATAAGAAGCAATTAATTTGAAATTAACTACCTATATGTATGTGTATCTATCAGAAAATTAAAATTTAAAATTGTCTGAATAAATTATATTAATGAAAAAATATAAATTTTAATGATGATCAATAATTTTTATGATGGTTGATTTGTTGATTCGTGATTTACTAATAATAAACAGATTAACAAAATAGTAGCCCATAGCCCACAGCATTGTAGAACGTTTTATAAGAAAAAAGTGTAAACAGTTCATCAATTTCTGGATTTTTCTTTGCTTAGTTGGGAATATAATTTCGGATATACTTAGTTAAGAATATTGAGTACTAAAAAATCTTTCTTGAAAAACGTATTTAAACTTTGATGGTTTTTAGTCAGACAAACATGCATAAAGAACTAAAATGAACTTATTCTTGCTACTCACCACTTCCTTTTTAGGGCACCTGGATCTTTTAAGCTGTCTTGTCCACTTATGATAACCGTCATTGTTACAATTCAATATTAAGTCCACTGAGTTAATGATAAACAATATTAAATTAAATTAGGCTTATTTTGAGACAAATTTCTCAATAATCTAAGATTCATTGAAAATCAAACTTTTTGCTACCGGCAATTTTTTTCTGTGGATAGAATGACCACGATCACACAAAAACAAACGAAATAATTCAGTTTGGTTTCAAAAAGTCTCACATCAATTTTTAACTTTTAGCCGACAGGATTTTGTATCGCGACACACTCCAGTAAATTAAAACCAGTCCAAAATTGGGAGCTCCTTTTAAACATCAACAAATTTTCACTCAGAACTACACTGGAGTCTCCTTGTTGTCCAGACTTTCGGTCTGTACAATTTTTCTCTGTTTATAAAGACGCGCTTTTCATCAATAAGGTCCCAGATACTCACTGAGCAAATTTAAATAAATGGAAATCGAGCAGAGGAATAGCGAGTTATACCTCCGACAAGGTGCGCTAAAACCCCACTACTTAAAAGAGTATTTTTAGTTTTTCAATTTTTTTTGTGTCAAGTTTAAATGTCTCGCATTTTGGAATCATGTTTTTTCTACCTCACTTGTTTACTTTCATAGAAGTTGAGCTTCTTTATAATGTGAGAATTTATCATTTGGGAAATCGAAAACAGAAGTAAGTGTTAATGTTCCCACAAACAAGCTGTTTAATCTACTATTGAAGCTGCTCATTTTATAAACTGTAAAAACCTCAATTTTAAAACGCCTTTTTCAAGGTTTAACGGGTATTGGCGATAAACAGTTTTAACAGCAATAATTTCATTAATTAAGAAAATCAGTAAATAATTAGAGCAAATGGAGACATTTTTAAATGAAGATAAATTATAGCTATAAATAAATAAATAAAACAGTCGCGGATGGCCAGGTTTAAATGTATTTTTACGTGCGAATTTCAACGTTGCAGATACAAGTGCTGAGATCTACATTATAAAGGGTGACCCATTAATATGAAAAAGCTAAAATATTTATATGAAATAGTCTTAACGGTGAAAGGCAAAAATTATTTTGTGATCTTCAAATGATAAAATTATTGTCAGTTATACACACGTCTCATAAAAATTGCCACCTGTTTAAGTGAAGATCTCTGATTTCTGTATTCAATTTGCAATCATTTGATTCCACATGGTCGAGGTTTGCGTATATCATTGACCAGCATTCAAAGTTTCCTCCATTTGGTATTTTAAAATAAATTTTGAAACGGTAAGAATTAGCAGCGTGCTTTGTTTTCAGTTTTCATAAAAAGAAATCGGCATTCTCTTTCTTACTTTAAAGTTTCATTGGCTGTTAAGGTGCATTTGTTACAAATTATCAAAGTTCAATTTGTATTTTAATTCACTAAAAAATGTTTTTTTTCATAAAAGCTATAATTTTTTCCTTTAGTGTATTTGGATATACTGCGTTATTTGATTCCAATAAAGACTAAGACGTCAAATAAATTGGAGGAAAATTATTTTCATTGAATTGAATTCGAATCATTTCCTGAAACTTGTGAGTTTTTCGGGATTTTAGGCCGTCGTAAAATAGAATTTCTTCTGCACTGTCCTAAGCTTTCAAGCGAACCACCTCTGAAAACGCAAGCCACTCGTGCTTGCGAAACTGCAGGAAGAAATTATATTTCACGACGGCCTGAAAACCCGAAAAACTCACCTAAAATATTTGAATTTTGATAATTTGGGGGAAAAATGGAGGAGCTAATGCAAGAAAGAAAGCTAATTTATTTTCGACTTAATCGATTAAAGAAATTCAATTTATTTTATTTTCATGGCAATGTACTAAAACTTTTTATGATTAAATACTTACTCAAAGTAATTTTTATTGATGTTTTCAGAAATGTGCAAAATAGTTATATTGAAAATTTAGTTTTCTGATACTTATTTGTACTATTCTGATAATTATTTGTAGTACTTAAAATATCTTGTCACTAAGCTTTAAATGCAAATGTAAATAATTTTTTTGAAGTAATCCATTGTGTACGAATTGGTTTCAAAATTTCAAGCACAACAGAACAAGTAAACTCATCAACGAATGTTAAAAACGAAATAATACTAATAATAACTAATCAATTCATCAATTTAACAGATAATTTTTCCTTATTTCAAAAATTATCTGTCCGCTTAAAATATCCCCTTTAAATAATACTAATAATAAGTACCCTAAGAATGATTTGTAAGACCATCAAATATTTTTACGATAATAATTGAAATAACAAAGCGTGTTACAAAAATACATGAATACAAAAAATACCTTAAAAAGTTTTTAATCTTCAACCACCGAGTTAAATTTAATATTTCGGATAAATACTAGAGAAGGATTGGCTATAGAAAATTAACTAGCCAGGTTTAGAGTACAACAAATTAAACAAACAACTGAATGAAATCAAAGTTCTAATGAATAATAATCGCTAAAAGAGAAAAATCAATACCACACCTAAAATATTTAGTGGGTAACCGTTATTTGCACTTACCAAACACACATTAATAAATAATCTCCTGTTATATAACTGGGTTTTAAGCGTATTTTCTACACCTTCTTGCAATTATTAGGTTGTTTTGATTTCCTACTCGCTACATAAAATGTGCATGTTTTCCCAGAAGTAAGTAGTTATCCAGCTCTAATAAAAATCCGATAAATCAGCCCAAGAATTATATTTTTAACCTGTCTGGAAAAACCCGCACAGCATCCATCCACGGAAAAGTCTATAAAAATGTACTTAATTATCGTGTATGTTTGCATGAAAATTTGCTTACATTGTGATGACCTAAAATCAGTCGAAATCGGTGTTAGTTCAATCAAATTGACTAGGTTTCATATTGCGAAAATGAAATATGCAAATAACAATTATGATCTCATTAGTTCGCTAGATGTCGAACGATCATCTTCAGTTTATTGAATTAATACGCATATTCTAGTAGACTAGAATCTTTTTCAAGACGTAATTATTGAAATTAGGACAGTTGTCATTTTCCTGGAACGATTTTCCAACCAAATCTTTCAAAACAAACCATTATATTTTCGGAGCTCTGAACTTGATATGCCAATAGGTGACGAATGAGCAAATAACAAAAAAATTATCACACGGTAAGTAATTAGTACCGTTCCGAAAAATCTGACCTGACATTGGTCCTACTAACCCTCACCCTAAAACCTGGATGCATTAATTTTACTTTAGCCAGTTATTCTGCCTTAGCAACTGGTGCATTTTTTCTTTCAGGAAAACTTTCTTTTCGCATATTTGGAGCAAGAAAGTGTTCCAAGGCAATAGAAAAATAGGTGAAAAAACCAATTATATTCACTATGGTGTTGCAGCGCGTTCGATATAAATTAATACCTATTTGTAGTTTTGTGCGGCATGGTAATAAATTTATAAATTGTAATAAAAAGCAACAATAAATTATCGTTTTGAATATTTTGCCGTTTTTTCAAAGCAAAAGGTATTGGCAATGACTTCATCATACATATGAGTTGGATAACATGTTTATTTACTAGCTGCTTGCATTACAACCAACTATATGAAATTGTTTTAAATAACCAAATATTGAAATGTGAACTGACGTGCAGTTTAACTTAAATCAATACAAATAAGACCTATAAAATTCACTGAGATTCAAGTAGAAAATGTTGGAAAAATAATTCTCTTCTTTGGTGCCGAGATCCAGGTTGTAATATCAGTAAAATGTGTATACAAACACTACATACTTAGATTTTCGGTCATTTTTCGAAACTATAAATTAGCAAATATTAAGGTTTTTCAATCGATTTTTTTTGCCCGTGAATTATCGATGGTGATAATCAATTTTCAGAAAACCGAATAAGTGAAAAAACATAAGATAAAATAATTGACGGCCTGCGAAGTTATTGTGTTGCTTTGTTGCATTCCAAAATGTGTTTCGATTAATTAAATTTCAATAAAATTTTTCGGTTTCAATATTATTCTCTTGAATACATACATTTTTGTTTCGCATTACTACAAAAGGACATAAATATAAAATCGGGCCTAGATAGGAATGAAGACAAGAATCTCAAAAATAGTTTCTACTTATGTTCGACAGCAGAAAACGACTTTAGAAGCGTTTTGCGTTTCAGAACGTCTTAAAAAAAGTTTTAAATTTAATCACCTTGTAGTTCAAAAGTTAGAGAACAAAGGAAAAATACATTTAGAACATGTAAGCTTTTTCTCAAAGTGAAACCAAGAAAGAAGAACAAGAAGGAGAAGTGAAACCAAGAAATTATGTAAATAATATAACTAGTCTGAATATTAGCACATTATATTAAAAACACGCTGTATACTGTCCGATTTCTGTTTTCACGACGTGTTCAGACGGTCTTTCACTGTTTTTGACTAAATATGTCTACAAAGTTTTGCTCACAATATGTATAACGAACTAAAAACGTTGAAAAGCGCGACTGTATAATCATACATTTTCCCATTATTTAAGGAGAAGTTTTGGGAAATAAACAGGTTCGTTGCTATTTACTTCAGGTTGAACCTGTAAACATTTTATTTCCCAATATACAAGGTGATTCAGTTTTAATTATGAGTAGTACAGTATACTCGTAAAAATAGTAAAAAACGTTTATAAATGCTTGTATTTTTTAAATCTTTATCTCTTATCACCAGTCTTCTTCCTTACGCTTGCCTATTTGTTAAATTTAGATTAAGATTTAAACAAATGATCATCCAAACTTTTTAGGTCATAAAAGAGTTTTGATAAAAAATAATTCAAGATATACAATTAACGCAAAATTGTTGTTGAAATATTAACAAACAGTTAAATTGTTTTATTTTTAATACAAATGATCGAGATAAAACTAAATAATCTATTTTGAGGTCTTAATAAGCACTGAAAAATTCAACTCTTCAGAAGCTAGTGGGCCGACAATTTTATTGTTGAAAAATTTACCATTTCTATTCATTTATTAATTTTCAAATAAAAAAAAACATTAAAAACTATACAAGTTGATATCAAAATATCTTCTTATCTTCACGAGCACGATGCACTGACGAACTTTTGAGAATTAAATCTGGACCGCCCTGTATAGGGTTTGTAATATAACTTATGAAATCAATTATTAAGACTTTTCTTATATGAGAATCTGTTTAGAAATAAAATGAAAATGGATACAATAAAGCGGTTTGCAACAAAATCCAGGTGTTAGCGAATCTACATAAGAATCAAAAATATAAATATTCTCGAAAGCGGTAAATAAAATTAATTAAATTGTAGACTTTGCTATCCTCTAACTGACCTACCTAAGTATAAACATGAATTAAAATGGAAATTTCAATAAAAAAAAGTCGCTTATTACGAAAAAAAAACACGTCAGATAATGTACACACATTATTATATTAAGAGTTTGTGAAAAATAAAATGATTCAATGCTTCATTAGCAAGGATAAAGTAATCACTCTTTTTTAACAAAAGACCTGCAGTTTCTAAAAAGGTGCTGTAGGTCAATCTGAAATTAATGATACCCAGAGCAGTAACTGATTTAATGTAAGTCTGGAAAAAGTAATGTCTTTTAAATCCAGGGGATTGGACTTTTTTTAGATTTTCACAATATAATAGCAATTATCTACTTTCGCCGACACATCTCCTTGACCTGAAAACTGGCGCGCTTAGTACGACATTTTCAGGTGAATAGTGATTTCTAACAAAACAATTTGTTTCAGGATTTTTTCGTCAGCTTTAAACTTATTTGAAATTTTAGGTGGAATATTCCAACTTTATTATTAACTTAAGCAAGATCCAAGATCATAGTCGTAAATAGGTAGTAATAAAACGGGGTCTAAACATTATGATATGTATAAAAACCACTTATTACGAGAAAAGCTTCTAAGAAATCCAAAATTTGCTACAAGCAATATGGTTTGAACATTTTCCAGAAAAATACTCATCGTTTTTCTTTCATTTGTAGTAGTAAATAGGACTGATTAAGTCTGGAAAAACCTGTAATTCCCCTACAACTCATTTGTAATTGGCCAATTTTATAAGACGAGCCCAGGCAAGAAAAACATACATTTTAGTTTTTTTCTCGTCAAGTTAACCATATTTTGGATGAATTTTAAGAGAGGATTCTCAATTCACTGAAAATGGTTATACTTAACTTTATTAATACATAACATATATAATTATATCGTTGAATTATTATCAGCTGATAATATTTGCTAATAAAGGTGAATAAGATGCTGATTTAGGGTATTATATCATAGCAAAAAACACGCACAAGAAACGCGATTAAATATAAATAAGGAAAGCACGCGAATATTTAAAAAAACAAGCGAACAATCCGGCAAAATGTGGATTTAAGATAAGGAAGCTAATTTTGAAAATTACTCTTTCTTTTCAAATTAGAGCGCAATAATAACTCATAAAATTGAAATGTAGCACACATCTTGTGTTAATAAACACAAAACAATCACTAACAGCAGACTTTTTGCTGCTTAATTACAAATGCATAGTAATACGGATAGTTTAATGCGAACGCGTTTTCTCTGTTAATATTATGTTTCAGTAGCACATGTTTGATGGATATTCAAATAAATACTTTCGTATGCTAGACATTTCAGAATAAAATTTCCGGTAATTCCGAAATTGGTGTTCTGTTATTTCGGACATGTTTCCCATTACATGAAATCAGCAGAATGCCATTGCTGTGTAATCCGCTCACTAAAACCGATTCGAATTTAACTATCGGTTTAAGCGGCCTACTCACACAGCAATCAGGGTACAGGGTACAATTTTCAGGGCCCCATCTGTACAGAAATCGGGCCTATCTACAAGACGTAGCAATTTATCAGTGTTGTTTTGATCTGTGCGTTAACAAATGGCTCCTTCAAGACGTCAAAAAATTGGGATTGCGTTTGCAGCAGATATGAATAAAAATAAAATAAAATACTGTCCAAACAATAGTTTTTGAAAAGAGGGGGATTGTCATTCGAATTTAATCAAGGCATTATAACCCATTAATTTTTTAAATAATGACTAAGAATTATAATGAATAAGGAGAACTTAAGAGGACTTAAAATTTAGCGCAGTAATATCCCCACAGCTCTTATACAAAATCATTCCAGAAACGGGTTGGCCGATCTACAATAGTTTAAAACTTAAAAGTCATAAATTAACCTGCGAAAAATAAATTAACCTATTCACAATTCACAGAAAATTGGAGAGGGAAGTAGGGTGAAGAATTTGGCACACTTGCAGTACAAGTGCGGAAATTTACAGGGACCCTGTAGATTGCCGCATGAGTAGTCCGGTTTAGCTTTACTGATTTTCGAAAGCTGAATACGATGCTATCAGCAGAAAGGACTTCATGAAAACACGCCTAGTTCAAATATGTAATTGATTTTATTGTAAAAATTAAACTAAAAACCCAACTGCGATGCGGCTGCATACGTATTACTATTACATATCTCAATTGGTTTCATGGAGATCGTTCAAATAAATCAAAGTATTAATTGATAGCGAATAGGACAATTGCCAATGCAATCGAATGCATTTATAACAAAAGCTTAATTAAAAATCATAATAGATAGGTAGACGAACGAATTACTGTAAAATATTGTTTTCAATTCAAATATTATCATGATGTTAAGGGCACCATACCACTACATAACAATAGCAAACATTACTACGATATACACATCTACTCTATGAAGTGGCAGTTTCGTTCTTATGGTTTGTAACACTGCGATAATATCCAATGAAAATGACAATCAAAACAGAACATAGACAATTTAAACATTTTAAACCAATAGAGCGATAACCGAAACATTTAAGCAAATAATTTTTTCGATATAGGTAATAGACACAAAAAGACAAGTTGAAATCCGACCGAAGAAAGTCATTTTTAATATTACAATGAGTTATTGAGACAGATACTTGAGTCTTTACTCACTCACGGCGTGTAAGCCAAATTAACAGACCTAATGAAGAAATGTAGTTTTATTAACTAAACAGCTATTAAAATTAGATGAGGTATTTTTAAACTATCGAATATAGGTTGTTGAATTTTAGCGTTCAATGGTTTCACCTTCTAGAAACGGTCACACGGGTAGCTTAGGTTTGTTACTTGGCTTTATCATAAATCGACGGGAAAATTCCTCAGTACGAAATTAATTGAGGTTTTTCGATTGGCTGCATTTTAAAAAACCTGCTATATTTAAGTTTAAATTATAAGCCCTACTAACACTCTTCCTGCTCCTGTGATTTCCTAACACATCTGGCGACTTTCCTTTTGAATTCTGTATATGCCTCTCGCCACTCTTTCTGTAAACAAAAACCAAACGTTTTGGTGAAAAAAAATGAGTAGAAGTAGTATCGATTAAACTAATTTTTAAAACTGCGATTAAACAAATCAAATTCAATATGACATAATGCTGGAATAACAATTTTCTGAATACGAACTATAAGCTAATCGGCACTTTTTTGCACAACTATTTGCATTACTTACAAATCATTGCATATAACTCAACAATAATTTATTCCTTTGAAGCATTGAACATGTTTAACAGTGGAATTACAGACGATTAGTTGATTCGCTTCGACATTAAGTGAGTTAATCATATAAATTAAACATTTTTGAGGTTATTGAAAGAAGCCGACAGCTTACGACTCCCAATGGGTCGAATTCTCGGTGAAATCAAATTTAGAAGCGGAATTCGATTTATGACCAATTTTTGTCCTTCTTGGTTGTATGATATTAGTATTAAGGCGGAATGGTCGATAGCGATGTTGTTGTTGATATTAGTAAAAATAATTTTCATATATTTGAAGATATTTTGAAGTAGCAAAAATTTTCCTACTTCATAAAAAACAAGTTAATGTACGCTTTAATTTCAAATATTAAACTTACTGCGGCATCGACATTTGCTGGACTCTCATCATTAGGATCTGCAAGCATTGAAATAACTGATATCAGAATGGTTTCTACAGTGTGAACAGGCAACCACCTTTCTGAGGCTTTTTCATATCCAAATTTATCATCTCCGGGCTCATGAAGAATGGATATACATACGTCACCATTTTTATCAACTAGAATATTAGAACACTTATTAGTAATTCAATTTTTTTTAATGTCAAAAAACTTACTATTTGGATGCCATATTTCTGTTACAAACTTCATTTTTGGTGGCCTCAGAGGATATTCTTTAGGGAAATACAGATGACACTTGAAAAACCCTCCTTCACTGAAATATAGAAAACAAACATTGGTTTCTACGCTTTGAAAGTTTAATTCGCCGCTAAAAAGTCAAATCGCTCATAGAAATGCAGGATGTGGTATTTTACGAATTTAATTGACAGTGAAATGAGAACCTAGTTAACTGTAGACATTCATAAACCATCTAATTAGAATAAATCAGTCAATTGAAGCAATGTAATGCTAATTTATGTATACATAATTTTGTCAAACTAAAGTAATTAACGATTTCTGTTTCGGTGTGTGAAGACATTGGATATTTTTCTGAAAGCAGTTGGGTTGTTTCTAGTCTTGTTATTTATTACTAACCATCTTTACCTTTTCTATTATCTTTATCTAAAACTTCTCGCAACAGTGTTTACTGTAACAACATTCATGGGCCAAACTTTCACCTATTGATACGAGCCAAAATAGTATTAACGCTTTTAGACATACACAAACAAGTATCATTGGCAATGCTAATTTTTGTTAAGAACAATTGCATAGTAATGAACAACACTCGGTCACTCAAATGTTTAAAAATATGTTATTACGTAGCAAGTACACATTTTATCATCTGCGATGTTCCTATTGATTAATAATTTTCATTCAGAGTTGTTTTATCGCTGTAGACGGTATTACAAACAATTTTAAAGTGATAAAAATAAAATAATAATAACCCCTAAGGAGTTTTACCAGCTATTTCAATTACACATTAGCCACTTTTCCTTTCTTATTTTTCATGTAGGACTTCTTAAAAGAAAGCAGGTGATTTACCAAACATCTGAGACAGAAAATAGTTTTTAACAAATTGCCATCTCGTGCGACAAAAATTGTGCAAGAAGACTAACCACTCTTGGTATTTATGAAAAAGGGCCCTCAACGTAAAACTGACAAACAAAACAAAGGTTGGGGTTTGTGTAACAAATTATTGTGAATTTTTATAAATTCGTATTGGATTTCATATAGGAAGATTACGTTTTCAAAAATATTTTAATTCTAGGCCGTTAATAGGCAATAGCTTCCAAGTAAAACTTCATAGTTATTCAAATCTGAAAGATGAGCTTAAAAATGCATAATTTTGCGTTTTATTTATTATTTTTGTAATGTTTAATTAAGAGTACCTGCAGGATATTAGTCTTTCATTTCATTCTAGGAAAATTTACTTGTCAGTATTATATCATTTACGCAAAGGTAGATCGAGGTAAAAAGTCAGATTTACACAACAATTATTTAATCGACTACTTTTATGTGTCGCCGACTGTACTTTTGCAACACCATAATGGGGTTTACATTCGCGCGAAGACAGAAGTGATGTAGCCATTTAGAATCAAAGGAAGATTTAATTTGAGGTGTGACCAGAAAGAGAGGAAAAAAGAAGCAAATAAGAATTAAATAATATAGAAGGCAGATAAATAAGGTGATTTCATTGATTGTATTCATTTTATGGAATAATTGGCAATTTCAAATAGCAATTGATAAAGGTCTGAGAGTATTTACACAAGATCTAATTTATGCCCTAGGATGAGGGGATTTCCGCTTGAAACAATCCCAAAGGTTTTTTTACCACGTTTATTTGAGTGAACTGATGACAAGATCGGAAGAACCCGTTGAAAAAACACACTAGCACATTTAATTAAGCCATTTTATTTTTTCGATCCTATTAACAATGTTATCTACAAAAAAATCGAGCTAATATTTCATCCCGTCGATAGTTAAATTTATAATTTTAGTTTTCGGATGTTCTATCGAGAATTGGATTGCTAATGCACCTAACAGCGTGATTGATTTATTTCAATTTACTCTCTCGATTTTGAAAACAATTCGATTATTCGATAATATTATTATTACCAATTTTAATGTAAGTAAATTCTTATTAGCAGTAATCGATGTAAAAGTACACAAAGTTACGTTGGTCAGGCACATGGTCTAGTCTAATCGGCGTCAACTCAATTCCTTAGTGTCATTTAGTTTTATAAAACAGTTATATTTCTCCATCTGAAATTAGAGTTAAGTGTTGATATTCGAAACATCTACATTTGAAAACCAATTAATATCAGTTGTTTAAATTCGCAGTCATTATGTAGATAAATGGCTACTAACAAATTGAGGTAAAAAGAAAAAAATACGTAGAGCAACCAATAAAAATGTTTGCTTTGGACACAAACGTATGAATGAGCACTTTGATGGATTGCTTTCACACCGTGAAATATCTTGATGATATTACGGTATGTTTAAAGACATCAGAGTGAACGATCGGTATGTTGCCCAAGAAATTTCAAGTCAAAAGGTCTATTGAATATTTCGCTAACCTAATTCTGATTATCTAAAAAAGTTGAAATTATATTTTTGGGTCACAAAACCAAAAATCGGTCATTACGTGTTAACGGAAAAGATATAATAAAACACAGAAATAAAAAGCAGATATACATAAAAATAAAACACCTGTACCAATTTATTAAATTTGGAAGCATTAGGGTAACGATATGTTCAAACTCTATCGTAACGCCTAAAATGCCAAAATTGCAAGTCTTAATTGATTAATAAGAACTACCCTATTTACTTGTGTATGGATTTTTCACTGTTTTAAACTTTCAATCCAAAGGGGTTTGACTTGAAGTATCTATAGCAGTGCGAAATATATAAAAATAAAACCGATTATTATTTAGTAACTTTGCAAATGCCTAGTGAAGTACATTGTATGAGCAAATGAGATAATAGATAAGTAGGCAAGGCATTATTCATCATGAGCAAATACCTATCTATACTTACTATAAGGTATCAGGAGGGCCTATAATAAGAACTTCCCATCTATAAATGTCATTATCGTCTATTAGGCCCGCAGAAAAACCCTCAACTGGGTTTTTATTTAATTCTGAAACAATAACTTATGATTACAACTTATAATTTAGGGATCTATTGATGGGTGGAATAGAATACTCCTATACTGGAACATAAAATGGCAAAATGTTAGAGATTTTTAGTATCCAGGTCTCAATTTAATTGGTGATTTTCAAAGCTGTAAACAAAAGCACATTCCTTTTAGGGAATACAATGTTAGTGAGACATCGTTGTTGAAATGATGAATTGCTATTTAAATAAATAAAAACATGTTTAAATATTGGGGTTATGTGTTGGAACATGAATTTCATTGAACCTTGAGATCTCAGAACTTGGCACAAAGCATAATTTTTTCGAGTCTAATTTTGACGAGCCTGTGGATGTTTGGATAAATAAAAAAAAATTCTTACGAGTTACTCAATTAAAATACACTAAATAACCCTGATATCACATAATAAGTTTAACCTTGCGAATGCAAAAAATACTTTCTTGCAGGAAGTGTTCCAATGAGAGTTGTGAAATTTGCGTACTGATTGTCATGAAGGTTGTAAAAGCTTGGTTTTGTCAGATCAAAAATCAGCGTTGGAGGCAGTTTGGAAAATTTTACCCTTTTGCTGCGGGGTTCTAGAATTTCTATGATTCATATATCGATGTACGAGTACACAAAGGTTGAAGACTTTAACCACAAAAGTTTAATACTAAGCCATTAAGTGAAGGGCTGGAGGTGTTTAATTCAAAATATATTTCTAGATTAACACGGTGCAAGTAAGATAGCTTTGAGGCACTAGTGAACAGGGTGTGGGAACTTATTTTTAAATCGCAGGGTAAATGACTCAAAAAATGATCTGCATGATGGTTTTTTTTTAATGAGAAAATCGACATTTTGTGGGCACGTTTCGTGGCTTTGCAAGGCTATTTCTCCTCGTTTCTTACTGACCTGCTAGCTGTTTCCTAAGTAGTAAGGCGGACTGTGGTTCTGACATTAAAAACTGATTAAATTTTGATGGTGAAATCAATCAAACACTGTTTTCTAGAAAGATGGCCGGTGTCTATTTTCTTGTAAGGATATGCAGGCAGCCCGCATTGAATCACAAACATATGTTATGTCAAAAATGGTTTGCTACCATGCTAGCGAAATGTCAGAATTGCTTCGCGCATCTACCAGCGAACGGCTTGAATTAACAGCAACTGGCAAACCGGTACAGATGCCTGTAGCACTCGAGCGAAATTTTTATTTCATTGTCCATTCGCTTCACAGATGTCACGCCTAAATTTTCGTTTTTTTGTTACGTTTGTCATGGCTTGCAAAAAATGTCTTATGTTTGAGTTTAGCGAGTTTTTTTCGGACTTTTCGGTGTCTTAGTGTTTTTGTGTGGATTTCGGTCTTTTTGGACTAATGGTGTTGTGTCGTTACTTTAGAGTGTTTGTTAGTACTTATTCCTACAAATGTGATCATTTAAACTATTAGCTACTTTGATTCGAGTCCCTACGATTAACGTCAGTACTATTTTCCAATTTAACTCAGTTTGTGCGATTTATACAAAAATATCTATCTACCAGAGAAGCTGGTACTGTTTTACTCAATCAGGTTCTCACATTCGAACTGATCGCTGTTTTGCATTTACCACCATTTTTTCTGAGCCGTAGTTCTTGTTGAATTGCTGTTTAGGATCACATTTTACTGCTGGAAATTCACTGCTTTTCTATAAGATTAGAAAAGATGCGATCATAATTTGCACTCATAACACCTTCCACCAAGCTGCTGATGCACATGTGAAAATTAATACTGCGAAATATTTCTTAGGGGCTATATAAGATGTCGTTTTAGAGATTCTCCATTTAAAAGAATAATAAGCAACATTCACAGTTAGCTTTATTTATGTAATAATAAGGGTACAAGTAGGTAAATACGAAAACAATGAAACTAAATAAACATTCGAATATTCCAAAAAACTGTTTAGTATTTAACGCATTACGATCGTAATGCGTCGACGCACTAAAATCAGATAAAGTTCTTGGACATGTTTTAGATTTTATCTATTTTTTTTTATTATAACGTTGACACCTACATTTTTTAGAAGACGTAATGATAATTTATTTTTTTTATTTACATATTTGCGTAAAATTGTTATAAGCGTACGGATGCCTTTAACAACCATTTGCTAATTAAGTTAGCATATTGTATCTCTAATTGTTACACTTGTCTTATGATTAACATTTTCAAATAAATATAACGTAAATATTGAAATATTGAACTTTGATATATTCGATCCTCGTCTTGAGAATAGTTCCACCAAAAATACCTTGTTTTACTATAGTTTTGTTAAATGGGAAAGTAAAACATCATTTAGATTCTTATTAATGACATTGTAACTAATAATACCTAATACACTATTACTTCTTCAAATTTATTTTATGAAAGAAATATGAACCGCTCTATTTCCACTCGAAAGATCCGATTAGTATAGGGAGCCAGTCAAGAGAACGGACTGAGTTTCATTAATTACACACATTAAAATACTGTGAAAGTTTGTTTTAATTTTCAAATTATAGATATCAATTACTCGTAATGTATGCGATCTTAAGTCAGCCGATTGTTATGTCATAGTGGTGTCGTCATGTAAGTGTTCCATAATAGTGTTTCAATTGATAATTTTGCGTTTATATATCTTGAAAAAAAATACGGAAAACACTCCATGCTAATTACAATAAACAAATATGCTGTTTAATTATGGTATTGGAAACGGTACCGCAGCTGCTGAAAAGTATCGTCAATAGTTTTTCATATGCGAAGCGTTCTAATGAAGACACAATTATTGACTAATAACACATCTATAAAATGTTTAATTTAGTTGATATATTCTGAAAATAATCAACTTATCTCTTCAAAAGGCCAGCTAACCAAATGCGGTATAAAACTTTCCAGAACTCGAACCCTTTTGCTCTTTTAGCAATCATTTTTGCATATCGTCATGCAATATGAATAAATGTTGTTGGCAAATTTAATTATTACTTTTGTTCATCGCAATATAATAAACACCAATAAATCCAAGTCCAAATAGCGATTATCAGATTTGCTTAACAGTTATTTCATTTTGTATGTATGTTTAATTAACACATCACCATAATCCGTTATTTCCCACATGCATGGGTCTTCAAAAATAGTCTTTGACTGCGTCTTATCGCAATGATTGTGGGCAAGTAAGTTATTTTTGGTTAAATTGTCTGTAAGACAATTTTGTTCTCAATTTGTATACACTTTTAGGCATTTCCTAATTTTTATAGTAGTTTTACTTGCTAAGATAGTAACTTGTGATGATGATTATACTGTAGTTAACTGGAAATACCATTTTCCTTCGGGGTCTGGAATGGGGGTAAGTTTTCAAGCTTGGTTATCAAGTGAAACACTGTAGCATTACTAACCATCCTGAATTATTTCCAAGCCAGTGAAGGGTTTAACTGTATTTGTTTACATTCCCAGGGACAATTACTATTTTAAATTAGTTTTACGCTTGCCATAAAAGAACTCGAGTGTCGTTCTTTTCAATTTCAATATTTTTTTCGTAATTAATTCACATTACCCACAAAAAAGTACTAAATGATCTGTATTTTGTTGCCAAAACAATGTCAGGCCATTTTATACTTTTCAAAATATAATTTGATTGTTTCAGATTTATGCAGCTTTGGCTTTACCAGTTCCAGACTCTCCAGATATAGACTTATTTTATGCAGTTTTCTTCGAAGCATATTACAGTTTGCCAGATAATACAACAACCTATGAGTTTCCTCCATTAGTAAGCGACAGGGCTTTTGGTAGAAAGACATTGTACGAGTCTATCAAAGAAAAATTGTTGTTGTAAGTAAATTTCTCATTATTTAAAATTTTTAAAAAATTTAAAAGTTTCGCATGCTTAGTTTCCAATTAACATGCCTTAAATAATACATTAAAATAAAATAACTGAGTTTTAGTACTTTGCCGAAAATTTTTTACCTGACGCGAGTTTTGGTAACTATGCTACATCTTTGGCCTTCGGACGAAGATTAAACCTGAAAACTTTTTATTTAATTAATAAAAAGTTTTCAGCTTTTAACTTCATTAATTATTTTTTATCAAGTAAATAAATATTTAATTGATAAAATAATGGATTAGGAAATTGCATAGTTTGCATCATTGACGGTTTAGCGTTAGTTAGAGTTAGAAATGTTTTCTTTTGCATTTTTCAAAATAATTGAAAAGAAATGAATAAACCAAAAGTCACCCTTTTCAGCATGCTATTTCGTTACATCATTAGTGTTATTGGGGGGAAGTGAAAGGGTACTTAAACATTATTATTATGCAACTGATTTTATAATTCTTCGGATTCCGACATTATCCAGAACCATAAAAATGTAGTGTGTAAGATGAGTCACTTTGTATGCTGAATTTTTGAAGTTTTATAAATACAAAATGAAAAACTTTGAACAATATTCATGTTTAAAGTGGATTTTTTTGGAATTTTAGAATTATCGGGCCATAAAAACAAAAATGCATTGCTTCTCTAATATCATCTGTATACTTTTTAATACGTTAAATAAGCCGTACTCGGTTCTTTACGTAAATTATGTGAAAGCTTTAAAGTTTTAATGTTCAGTCTATAAAATATCAATCTTTAAATAAAATGTTTTCACTCCGAATATCTAAGCAACAAAAGTGCGTTGGTTGAAAATCTATAACATTTGTCACACCAAGCCTTGTTCCTTTTATTGAATCAATCGCAATTAATTTTATTTCCGAACACATTCGAGTGACTTCAATATAAATAAACACAAAAGAGTGACATTAATATTGTACTTGATATGCCTTGGGGCATATGAAATAAATACGAAAACTTTGGGGAATAAAATGGGGATAATAAATTAGTTCGGGAGGAATTACTAGGGTTTAGAATTAATGCCTATGACATCGACAATTTATTTTTCAGAAAAGGGTATCCAGGGAAAGAGTGCATTTTAAAAGCTATCTGCGAAGCAGCAGCCTACACAACTCTGCACGCTAACGGCGTTATCGGCGATTTAGTTCATTTGCTGTTCACGTAAGTTGTTTTATTTTTCTTTGCTTTTAAGAACTCGCTCTATTTAAAAATGTTATGATCTTTAAGGCCATCGTCAACGAATAATGGTGACGAAAGTTATTTTGCTGAGTATAAGGAAGCGGAAAAAATAGGATGGGATACTCAAAACTGCAAAACATATAACAATTGTCAAATAAATTTGTTGGATATAATGAGTTTTATAAAATAGTTTTTTTGTTTGTTTTACTCCCCTCACTAATTCTTCAATCTTTTTCATTACAAAATCATTTTCAAAGTTTTAGTCAGAAGCTCACATTCATTTCAACTTGCCTTCATTTTACCATTAAAACGATTTGCGTATAGCCCTTTTTCTATTTTATAATTATTGGTGGTTTAAGTGAAAGAAACACTATTTGCAATTTTCATTTATTTATTTCTTTATACAAATGTTCAACATTTACCAATTATTTCGGCATATTCTCGCATCGAAAACCTGTGAATTATTTACAATAAAATGAACCAAGGAATTTATTTATAAAAATTTTGGTAATAGTTGAAATTCTTGAAAATTGATTTTGTTAAACGGTATTTAATGAAGATTTCTGCTTTTAGCAGTTGTGTTCGTATTCATTTGATACTGAACAAAATCATTTTTCGTCAGCACTCAAAAGTTGTATGGTTTTGGTGATCTCATCATTCAGAGAATAACATTTCTTAGGTTTCAATTATTTTTCCGTTTCATATGTGGTTTTTCAGTCATTTTAATCGGCTAACAGGACAAACAAGAATGGTTATTTTAATCCGATTATGCGACTCTCAAACTAGAATAATTACAATAGTTCGCCAACGATTCGTTAGACAATTTGGAATAGGCACAAAATTGCCTATAAATAGTCTCTTACAAAACCATGAGACCAGTTTTCCATGCAACACTTCCGGAAAACTTTTCGACTCTTTAAAAAGGATTTACTTCGAGGTTTATTATTTTTGAGTAATCGTACAATTACTTTTATAGCATTTATATTAGTATTCTTACATTTTTACATTATTCCTTTGGAAATAATAAAATTAGCGATACATTTATTTAGAATTTCATTTATGTTTACCTTGTGTGGAAGTGCGGATTCTTTTTCCTTTATTTTCAAAGTTATTTACACTTGACGGTTGCTTACTCGGTTACTTTTCGCGCAAATGATTACATCGGACTTCAATGCCCAATCATATTTCGTCAAAGAGATGTGTACACGGACAATTTTTGGCACATCAAATTAAACAGTTTTTAAATAAATATTCTATAATTTCGCCCTTTGGTATAAATGTTTGTGGAAGTCATTTTTGGTACTCGGTTTAATTAAGAAGTATAATTTATATTATACCTATTATATTATAAAATATTTAATTCCATTGATAAAACTTAAAAAATTCAAATTAATAAATACGTTTATTTATTGCCCAATTGGACTGTTGAAAGTAAAGTGCAATAAAGCTGATGAAAAAACGAAATTACGTTACATCCCAATACTTGCATGTTTTCAAATGTTAAGTTGCAATCTTAAAACCCAATACATGTTAAGTATAATACAATCACAATTGTTTGGTGACTGTGAGTGTATGATTTATGGGAAAGTTGAGAAGGTTTGGTCAACATTACATGTTGTTGTGATGAGATAATATAATTTTTAATTAAAAAACACAAAATTTATTAACAAACAACCGTGCTTAAATTGTTACGAGTTAACTATCGAATGAAATTTGAGAGAATGTATTAGTCATTGTTGTCATAATATATATAGTTATGGTATCGCGCCCAGGAACATTTTTTTCAAACTCCAAAATTTGTTAGTGATATGTTCAAAAATATAAAGATATTAAAATACATAGAGCTTCCTAAAAAGACTTAAAACTAATCAATAAAGTCTAATGTTTTTCTTAAATCTATATGTAACACTCATATTTAATTGGATCAACCAATAGTATCAACCCTGTGTAAAAATCAATACCTACGATTACAGTAATTTCCTTTCGGGAAAGGCAATTACTATACATTTACCAAAATATAGAAAAATTGAAGATACACATTGACCGTTTTTCTGGGTTTTTTTAGAACAACATTAAGGATATTAAATGATGCAGAAATTATAAAGAGTAGCGCAATACCCCTCATAAGATATAATGTTTTCTCGGTTGTAACGATTCAATCGCACTGTCTGAGAGATTCCATAAAATCTTTTCTACAGCGTTTCGCTGAATTTTTAAGTAACGAAAAAATAACACAAACATTCAAGCCATAATTACAGAGATTGGTTAAAAACAATTTGTTTAAATGGACGTCGACATTGTTCAAGCTAATGGAACTCTACTGACAACAACTAATAAAATTGATTGAAATCGTTCAGCAACTGGAATATTTCGATTTCTGTTAAAACGATTCTCATAACTTTTCCTAGAAAACATTACTAAGCAAATAATGAAGCGGAGTATGGTTTAGACGGGGTACGTTTTTGGATTGAAATAGAGTGCAATTATGATTGTAAAACTTCGCGCTAATTGAAATATTCAGTTTCCACTTTTACAATTCCCATTAAAACCCGAACTTTGCCATTGCAATCTTTATTCAATTTTACTACACTTTCTCACTATTTAAAATCTACTCTTCGAGTGGTAACCTAAAGTTAGTTTTTTACATCTGAGTGTTTCCTTCCGAGTTCTCTTCATTTTCTGGCTCTTCAGGTAAAGTGTACACGCCAGTCATTAGTACGCTACCATCGATCACTTCAGGCATTTTAGTACCCACAGTAACAGGAACCAATTCATGACCCAAATCTGCAATTCAAATTAATATTTGCATTAGTTGATTTTACTTGATTGATTACTTTTGCATTATTACTCCTACAATTTGTTTGCAATACTTTTTGCATATTAAAAGAAAAACTTTCTCTAGTCTAGCGAGGTAAATGCTGATTAGAAATGGGCTTAATAAGGATTAAGCACATATCTTAAGTTATCAGTTTCAGGAAAAGTTCAATTTAAAAAGAATAATGAACTAATAAAGCAACCGATATTACTTGATATCGTATTTCCTGGAAATTCTCTTGTACCTACATATGTTTTTTTTTGTGCAAATAATGTGTTCATACATATTAATCTAATTTTTACGCGTTTCCTCGATACCCGGTGCAAGCTTGCATGTTGATGTGGATTAATTTTTAACAACGGCAACTTTAGCTGTAATTATTGTTGCGAAATTTACTTACGTCGAAACAGAAATGCTCGAATATTAATTAAACTTTTTAACCAATTCAATTTACTAACCAAACCAACCAGGTACATTGTAACGAACTGAACATATCAACTTTTATTTTCCCAACACTCAGTAAAAAATCAATTTGTTAATTAATGTGTCTCAACTCTAACGATTCCCATAGTAAAAAAAATGTATGAGAAGTTGCCAAGTGCCAAGTTAAAAGATATTTTTGAAATAACTTTTAAGACTGAATGAAACGATATTTTGAATTGATTACACAACTGTTCAAATAATTGGTATGAATCTTTTGTATCTCCGCAAAAGGTGGTAATAGAAATGAAATATAATACAGAAATGAAATACAGGGTGATTCATAACCACTGAGCAGGGGCGTGTAGAGAATGTTAAAACAAGTCGAGTTTTTATTTAAGTTTTTTTCCCAGGCCCATGCTTAACGAGACCCAGGGTGTTAAAGTTAAAAAAAAATTGGTATGTTCTCTTTAACTACTACAGCTTATGAGATATTTTGCTCACATTTATAACGTAGTCTAATGTTTAGACCCTTAACCCGTCGGTAATGCGAGTGGTTGTGAAACTGTACAGGGTGTTCTTTTGTCTAGAGGCGTACCCCCTTTTGCCCTCCCGAACTTTTTGTGGCACGCCACTGAATTTTCCGATTCCTTGCAGTTTTTTAGAAGCTATCTTCGTTTTCGATTTATTTGCACAAATGTGAGTCCGTGTAGGGTTTCTGGGTGATTTTCTATACATTTTTTATATTTCTTTTGGGTCCTTTGGTTCACATTTTTGTGTGAAAGCTTAAAGTGCAAGTTGACGTTAAAATAGGGATGGCTGACGAGTCAAATTTAAAATTTAATTTTTTTATTTTATTTTACTTTACAATAATTAAGGTTTATCGGCTTTAAGCTGATCCAAATAAAAATACACAAAAATGTAACGAATATTTCAATTTATTATAAAATTAATTTCTTTCACAAAAAATCTGAACAATTACGCTTAAAATTTGAGCAAAATATCTCATAAACTGTAGGAGTTAAGAGAAAATACCAAATGTTTTTTGAAACTTTAAGACCCTGTATCTAGAAAACTTAAATAGAAGCTCGACATGTTTTGAGGTCTTCTACACGCCCCTGCTCTGTGTGCATAAGGTTGTGAATCACCCTGTATAGAAATCTATAATATTATTCCTTATTTTGTTCTAACCCAATTCTAGCGAGGCCCACTTATTCATTAGTTCGTAACTAATATTATCGTTTTTGAACTTACCTATAACAGACGTTGGTGTTCCAGTACTGAGTAGAGTTTCTTCCGTAAGATTTCTATGATAGAAAGTCGAATTCTTCTGGGGATTAAATTGTCATGACGCTAAGTTGTATGGGTCGTTAATGTTGAGATCATCGGAAAAACTGACTGAATTTAGTTTCGGGACTGACTTTTGCTGGTGTTTTAATCTAAACCAATATATTACTTTAATATAAAATTATAAATTAAAAGTTAATATTGAATGTACCGTACAATTGAACGTACATTAATCTAAATATCCGACAGAAATTGCATGGTATTCAATCGCGATTGAATTCGTATTTGAGCTTATAATAAAATCGGTCATTTTGTTCATTACAAGCTAGTTAAAGAAATATTCCCGTCAGCAATTGCTATAAAATGAAGTGAGTTGTTCGTTTGGGGCAATTCCATTTTTAATAATATTTGATATTTAACTTCTGAAAGATGTATTATATTCTAAAATAGAATTTAGATAAAACCTTCAAGAAAGCTCAAAAAAGCATAGTTTCATGGTTTCGTTAACATTCTGGACAAGAACAATCTGCGTAGACGTAAAATGCGTGAAACTAAGGTGCTCTAATTACCTATGTACAATTTCATCGTGAACAACATTGAATGACATTGCGGTTAGTGCCATTCCGGACATAATGTAAATTGAGCAAAACCACAGCGTGGTACTAGAATCGTAGTCTGGAAATGGGTCAGAGCCCGGGACCATATTTCCAAATCCTATAGTTGTTAGGCTCATAAAGCAAAAGTAGAACCCATCTAGAAGGGACCTGAAAGAACCATTAATTGCGAATCGTGTTCATTTTTTCAATGTCATTTTTACTTCCCGTGCCACGCTATCAAGATATGAATCCATGGAATATTTAAAGCAAAGCTTACCAGTTTTCTAACTTATACAATACAAAAGTGCCTATGCAAATGTATATGAACATCATAACTAGGCACAGTAGGATGGGAGCGAGGATACTCCATCCATGAATAGAGCTCTTCGATTCGTTGTCAGTACCACTTAGACTGTCAATTTCTTTGCCAGCACTATCTCTACAGGGTGAGTGGATGTTGTTGCTGTAACTTGAATTGGAACGCACGTAGAATGGCTCTTGCAGACCTAATTGCTGTTGCAACTCCAGCTGCAAAGAAAATATCCGGCTTGAAGACAGAAGAACTACTTTTATTGCAGATTAATGCGTCTACAGTGTGAGCTGATTTAAATTCCAATAGAATGACATCTACAGTTGGTGGAATTTTGTTTCTACGATATCATTCTAGGTTCGCCCTGTAGTCGACTCAGTGTCGTTATGTTTTAATAGTTGTTAAAACCTGGATTCAATTGAATTCGCGAAGTCATATTTATCTTAGAACATGAAACTGTATTGTTACCAATTCATTGCAGCAGAATCCAGTATAAAGGTGAGGCTTTAACGTATTATGATTTTCCAGAAACTTTGTCAAATTTATGGCAAAACAACGGGACATTATTTAACAATAAAAACAGGTAAAAACAAGGAACAAAGAATTATTGTTTGAACAAGTTTGAAAAGCGTTTGCCAAATTATCGCCGCGCCATTTGTCATGAAATGCTCTAAAATCCTAAATAAATAAGAAATAGAAACATCGTTTTGCGTGTGTTTGATAACAAATCGAGCAAATGGTCAGTTTTACTTTTAAAAGGAAAAATATATAATTTCGTGAGGTTTTTATACAAAGGAGTTATCTATTTTAAGTAAAATATTGGGGTAGGTAAATAGAGTTTGAATAATATTACCGTAAAATAGGTTTTCTCCATGTTCTTACTACTTTTCATTCAGAAATATATAAAAAGGCGACTATAAACTAAACATCCAAATAACAACCTTCAGCAAATTTGGAAAAGGTGTTTTCTTGATTTCAACAAATAAAAGCCAATTAGTTTATTCGCCATCATTCGTTGAAATAAAATTCCATCACTTGCTAATCAGAAATTAAGGGAAATTAGACCAGATTTTATGTTACGAACTACACCTAATATTCGATCGACTTGTGCTAAAATCGTTGATTGTGGATCATTTTCTTCAACATTCTATCTACGTAAACAAGGCAAAATTAGGTGTCGTTGTAAACGCTCTGCTATATGCATGGTGCTACGGGTTAAATTCAAATCAAAACTATGCATAAGGAAATTTAATTTTATGCAAAAAAGTTCTTGTAAACGCCGGAAACGCTTCCTTTATTATCTAGTGTATCAACAGGGAATTAAAAATTTAAGAAAAAATGCGACTTTATGATTTCTCGGAAACGGACACGGTATTGAATCACATAATAAACCAAAATTATTAAAACCAGTGACGTGCGCTCATGTCCCTTTCTGTATATTTTTAAAGAAATAATGGCTCAAGCAATAAGTGCTTTCTTAAAATCAAAACTATTTTTGATTTCTCTGCTCATATGAAATTTTCGAGAAAAAATGATTATGCTGAGAAAATAAAAAAGTTCCAAGGGCGTTTCTTAGGCTTTGATAACCGCTAATAATTTGGCTCAACGGGTTGGATTGTGTAAAATGTCTATGTCTTGCCATTTTTCCATTTTGAGTCATTTCGAGTAATACTTAAAATTTGAGAAATAGTTTGAGTTTATTTAGTGCAAAAAATGAGATTCCATACTCTTTTGATACCTTTCCAACCTTGTTAAAAAACTATAAGTCTTTTGCCAGCAATCATTAAAGTAATTTTTTGTAAAATGTTTAATACCTTCCAGATCCTAAACCCTCCCAGTTAGTAATTCTCTTGCATTCACTGATCATCTTTAAACTCAAGTGGTTCGTCATAGAGGAAGCACTTAATTTGGAACTTGAGAGTCTCTTAACTAATACTTCAATTAATTAGCTTAGATGATTTTTATTGCTTCAATACACTAGATAGTGTTCATCTAGTACTTCATGTTCAAAAAATTTTGCAAAAATGTATTGTTGTCTGTATCGCTTTCTCAAACTTTAACTTCAAAATTTTAACGGAGAAACTTAATTCGCGAAGTATAATTTTTAAGATGTCCATGTGTACATGGTCTGAATCCTTGGTGCTTCTAACAAAGGCTTGTAATAACAAACAATTCTTAAAACTGACTCTTATCATTGTTGAATTATAGATGCAAAGAAAGCTAAAGCCAACTTATATTCTATTAGGCACAAGCACATTTAGATTATACTTTCTACTATTCATATAAATTTGATAAAACATACTTCGATTACCTGTTGCCTCTTTCGCTTCATTCTTCGTTCCTTCTCTGCCATCCGTTTTTCGTCGTAGCAACAATATCCACAATTAGAGCAAAGGCAGCAGCAAAGAGCTCTTGAGAACACTCCTCTTGCTACCCTACTTAGAATAGAGCCGACGCTTGATAGGTATAGTAGAGTAAGGGGAATACCTAATAAATAAAATATTTCAAATTAGATATATACTTTGTTTTTTTATTGTTTCGAAAAATTGATTAGATTCTTTGCAATATTGGGATTTTTAATTAATCATGTGTAATTACCTAACATAGCGTAGCCCATAGTTACAGCTTTGCCTAGTGCTGTTTTGGGGGCAATGCTGCCGTAACCTGAAATACAAAAAATATTTTAGTGTTTTAATATTGAACAATGTGCTGGTTTCAGAATATATTCAATCTTAATTCTATCTTGTGCAATATCATTTTGGTGAGTGACAATCTGAAAGTTTTGCTAGTAAACGTTTGGTCATTTATTCCGGTCGCTTTTATTTGGTATTTTAATGTATTTGCCCGATGTATTTAATTAGCGTTTTTGTGATAGTCACATATATAAAAATCGTTTAATTTGTAATTTTACTAACATAAACTGTGATCAAATTGCAGTCGATTTATTCCACAGAGATTTTTGCAAATGTGTCTAATCTCTTTTATGGTAATAGCAAACCAATGTATAATTTCACCTGCATTGACCGTTTGCCAGAGACCCGTAAAATTGGTTATTTGCTATCAATAGACCTATGCAAATTAGTGTCATGAACAATTAAACGATGTTTAACTGATTGTCTCGATGCTATATTGTGGGTGAAATTACAGATTACAGTTCCTGAGTTAGTTGATTGATGGGAATAAGTAATTTGGATTTAGTCCTTTACAATGTTACTGTAGGGTATTTTGATTCAAGCATCTATTTTGAGGCAATGCTTGTGTACTTCTTAACCGTTTTAACTTCTAGTCTAGTTAACTCAACGCAAAAATACAATACAATGAAAACAATAAATTAATTGAGTATGCGGGTGATGTTTATGGTTAAGACGTTGGACAATAATGCAGATTTGTGTATATTATTTTTATGGAAATAGGTGCCAATGACGGTGACATTTTCCAAATTAATGAACTAAGGAAAATGCTTTTAACCATACATCATTTGGCAAACGTTTCAGATTTTCTAAACTTTTACACTTTGAAAAGTTGTGTGTTGACTCGGACAATATAAGTTTTTCTTTAGTATTAACCAACAGTTTCAATACTAATTCATGATATATCAAAATTATAGTAATTAAGTATATTACCTGAACATCAAGTTTCTGAAAAAGAAGCCACAAAGAATTTCTCCAGATCTATCTGTCCTGTTTACGAATATTGAGGAGTAGAATAACTCTCGTTAAATAAAAATTTGTCGTTTTAAGCATATTTTTCAATACGCAAGTCAATAATTACATCGTAATAGTTCATGTGACATCAAATTGGTCATAGAAGCATTGATCCAATTTGGAATGCTTGTCTGATGGATCAATTAGCTATAAACAATATGTCGCTATTAGTCTCGGCATTAATCAATAGGGGTATCACACATGTACATAATTTATATAAATTTGACAACTTGCAGGCGAATAGGGACTGGACAGGAATGATGATTTATTTTCAGAAATATTGGATCTTCCCATATGTTCCTAGTCAATCAACGCTCAAATTATATGCAGGAAATTCGTAGGAACAGATTTAGAATTTCATAGATCAGTCATCAATTTGTAATCAATCAAATGTATCGAGAAAATGTTTTTAAAGTTGAATATAATGGAAATTTCACCAAAGTATCAATTAGATGTTGCATACATCTTTTTAAAGCCTTGAATTCAGTACAGCAATACACGCCCGGCATTTCTATACGGCACTCGAGAGAATGTTATCGATAGACAATTCCAAAAAGGCCATTCTAAATTGGCTTAAGATGTGGAATTTAGAATCGGCGATAAATCTCGGAAAACATGCGAACCAACTGAAAAATCTAATACGTATGTATACGCCTTCTCGTATATCCAGAAAATAACGATAAACACGGCCTATTCGAGAAAAGGACAATTACTTTTGAAATTCAAATCGGCTAGATCGAAAGATACCCCAATGCAAAAACAAACAGCAAAACAAACGAGGCAAACACTGTTGACACATCGCCCAATTTTTACCACGCAAATAAATGTTGACTCAAATATATTATCTTGAACACTTGTGCATTTTTTTAGCTCTAAAGCACTGGTATTTTTCAAACTAATAATTTAATGCCCAATTGCACTATTTTGCAACATTTGGTTTTGTTCTGGGATTAGAATAAGCAACACACTTTTTGTATTTTTGGTTGAAGCTGTTAGTCTCGACTGTCTCTCTTTCATCACGATTTTCACAGTATCCTTTAATCAACCAAGCTCCATTTTCTAAGATATTTCATATTTTTAAGAAAGAGCTTGTGATTTTCTTCAGCTTTTAAGCCTTGGCATGCATTTTGAAATGCATGTCAAGGCTTAAAGCAGCAACAACGCTACACATAATAACTGATGATGGTGGAAAAATACACCGAAACGTATTTTGATTGATAAATAGAGACAAAACACAAAGACTGAAACCCAGGAATGAATTTGATTTGTAATTGTTTATAATATAACAGTATTCGGCGGTTATCCCTTCAACGTAATAATGCCGATAGATCGAAATTTTTAACCCATTTGAAATGCAAGCTGTATTGTAGCTAGATTATCTTCTTTAATCGCATCGAAAATCTTGGTTTTATCTAGCTAGCACAGACGCAAAAACCCAAAGCTATCATATATGCATGTCGACTTGGCAAATCCAATTTTGAATCAGACATTAACAAGTCATATGTGGGATTTGGCACGAAATGACTTGGCTGAACGGCAACGTCGTATTACGTTATAGGAGAAACAATTTGGGAAAATCGCTCAACGAGGAAAATTGGAATTTTCCAAGACAGAGCTGATGGATCCACGCTCGGGGCTTCTCGTTATAATATTACCGATTGATCCAGCTGCTTTGCTAGCGAGCTGGAATTTTTTGGATGGGTTTCAAGATGTTTTTTTATTTCTTTGGAATTATTTGCCAGTCATGAATAGCAGAAGACTTATATGAGGATTTACGATTTTCTACCGATTTGTTTATTAAAATGAAGGAATATTATTTTATTGCACGTGAGGAATGCGAATATGATGAGATGTTCAAATGGAATTTTAAAAAGGTAATAAAGATATTTAATGATATTTGCCAAGTTCTTCTCCTGATTCTTCTTTCGTCCAATTGGGCACTGTTCTTCATCGTAAATCGCTTTATGGAGGGAGGTTGTCACTCCAACATTTTCGTGGCCTTCCTGTGCTTCGTCTCCCCGAAGGTGATTTTTCTCTGGCAATCGTCCCTATTCGTCCCTCAGTCATGCGTGTGATATGGTCATTCCATTCAATTTTTCTACTCAGCACCCAGTCTTATAATGTCTGATACTTCTTTCCCTGTCCCGCAATATTTTTCAAGCTATTCTTTGAATTATCTTCACCTTTCCTGTTTCCATAATTTGGCTTGTTTTTGATGTTTCGGAGCCAAACAGTCTCAATATGGGTCTAATAGCAGTTTTGTAAATACGGGCTTTTATTTCTGTTTCCAGGTGCGACGAAATATTGTGCAGTTCATTACTGCAACCGTTCTGGTTGCTTTGATTGCGTGTGCTCTTACCTCTGTTTTTTTCTGTTCCCACTAATTTACATCTCAGAGGTGTTTTAGATGTGGTTATGCATTTTGTCTTAGATATTGATATTGTCATCCTGAGCGTTTTTGTAACTGTGTTATATGTATAAAGAAGCATATACAGATCATCTTCATTTTCCGCTATCTAAACTGTATCATCAGCGTAGCATAGGATTTTTACCTCTCAACCTCCCTTTTGATATTCGCTTTTCCGGCGAACTTGTCTTATTCTTTCGTCCTTAATAATGTTGAATAGTAATGGGCTCAGTGAGTCTCTTTGTCGTATACCCCTTTCTACCATAATTGATTCTGTGAGTTTGTTGTCTATCTTTGACTGTATTCGGTTATTTCGGTAAATATTTTCAATAGTTCGAATGATAAAAATCCGTATTTGTCCGTCATACAGGAGATCCACTATATCTTTTAAACGCATCGGGTCAAACGCCTTCTCCAGGTCCGTAAAACAGAAGTGTGCTGGTTTATTGTACTCTATAGACTTTTCGGTTATCTAGCTAATAACGAACACGTGGAAGACATTAAATTTTATTTTCTGTAGTTCCCAAGCTCCTTTGTATCGCGATTCTTATAAAGCAGGACGGTCGTATTTTTCTCCATTCGTCAGTAATTTTTTGATTTTCAAATATTTGTTGCGTTAGGAATTTAGATTCATGAATCAATCTTTCGCCACCATACTTGAGAAGTTCGTTAGTGACATCATCTTGACTCATTTTTCCTATTTTTGAGCTTATTTAGTGCTTTTCTAATGTCGGACTCATTTATCGTAATACAATACAATTTTAAATTGCGATACTGGGCGGGGCTTGTGGTGTTGCTGCTTCCCCACCCTTATATAGATCTTGTAAGTAGCTGGTCCATGTTTCCTTACCTATCTGATTAACGGGTATTAATTCACTTGTTTCTTTCTTTTGTCTCCTTAGAGAATCGCTACATCTGCTTCTGAACTCTGTAGAAATCCCTCTCTAATCTTTTTGAAAAATTCTCCTAGTATCCATCTTTAATTTGGCTGATCAATATGCCAGTTTCAGTCCGAATCGGTTTCTATTCATTGTACCACTCATCTGTTCACCTTGTTAGATGCTTGATATACGCTTCTCTTTTTTTGCATTGGTTCTTAACTTCCTCGCAGAACCAATGAGTTTTATTTTCCGTCCTGTCTAACTGTTACAACAGCTTCTATGGTTGAAGTTTTGATGTTTGGTTTGAGTTTACTCCATATGGTATTGTTGTCATCTAGATCACCAATCTGGTTCATTAAAAAATATATTTCGAGGCGTTTTTTGTATAGTTCTCGGATGGCTGGATCCCAGAGGGAGTCGACCTGTGTTTGCCACGTTGGGTTTCTTGAATCAATGTTGGTCCCATTTAATTCTTATAAAGTACACTTTAAAAATAGGTGCACATTTTTCAAGAAACCCCAGGAAAACGAAACGTGTGCGTCCCGGAAACTATTTGTATAATATATGAAGAGCAGTAGTACTAATTTGTTCTGCATCTTTATTTAAAAGATGGAAACTAATATATCATTTGTGGGGAGACTGATATGGCCCAGCCAAGTTGCATTCTATCTG